CAGAGACCATTGAATGAGTCTTGACGCCAACATTATAATAGCAAATTCTATTCTTTTACTGTACAGTATTTTTTTTTTTTTACATACCAAAGTCAATGCTTCTAGAAAGGAACCTTCACAAATGGTTTAAAAAGATTGGGTAATGACAGGAGAACATGAAATGCTCGGAAAAAATTTTGTAAATAATACTTTCATTTCCTTTCTTTCTTTCTTTTTGAAATGAGGTGATGAAGTTAACAATATATTACTCAGTTGTAATAGGATGCTTTTAACAGCTTTGTGTAATAAGAAATAAACTGTGCACGTTATTTTCCTCTCAAATAATGTCACATGCACGCGAGCGGGCACACATACACACACACACACACACACACACACACACACACACACACACACACACACACACACACACACACACACACACACGTGCACATGAACACGCGTATGTATTGTACAATGTTCATTTATTTTGGGCAAATGTTGAAATTGTAGATAGATACGTACATCTACATAGGCTTTACCATCAAAATTGCTTTTTCAGAATTTTTTGTTTGTTTTTAGAAGAAAAGTACTCTACATGTATTTGAGCTGTCATAAAAGCAGAAAATATTGGTGTCAAAGTTGATATTTTCCCTGAAATTCATAAAATCCCTCGATTTCTTTTATTCCCCTCCACCCCCAGATTTTCCGTTAAACTTGTCAAGGCTCCACCTGATATGGGCACTTGACTCTTTTTTGCCGGACCGTCCTCCGTCTGCGACCTGGGTACTCCTCAGTCCTTATTCATATAATAATCGTCACGCAGCATGACAGTCTTCACCCGTAATGTAGGAATCTGAACATCGCCAAATGTACCAAAACTGCGGTCAATGGTCACCCAAATTTATGTTGACACATTTACATCACTCTTTAGCTCACATCAACCTCTGAAAATATTTGAATGATCGCCCAAGTATTAAGGATTTTATTTATTATAATTATTTATTTATTAAGGATGTTAAATATTTTAGGGTGTTTTCCTCTTCATACAGGCGCTCACTACAAAGCTTTTGTACATCATGAGAGAAATTCGTCGTCCATAAAATTCAAAACACATGGCATGTCTTGCTATACTTTGAAAAATGTGCAGGACTTTCACATGCAAACATGGCGCCACAGCGGTCAACACAAGGACTGCATGACTGAGGCTGCTCGAGCACGGGGACAGTTGACCTCTGTTTTGAGGTCTCCATTGTTGGTCACTGCCGAGCCGAGATATTTAAAGGTGGAGACAAAGTGGAAAGGGGTGCCATCAAATACAAAAGATGGTGGGTCAGGTCCATCACCAACATTCATCAATTCTGTCTTGGGCGAGCTTATCATTAGGACTACTAGCTTTTTGGACTCCTCATTGAACACTGAGAGCCTCACGAAGCTGATCGGCAGTCTCGCTGAACAGGACGGTGTCATCAGTATACTCGAGGCCCTTGAGAATGCAGCAGGCGGAGCTTTGAAACTTAGGCGCGAAACTCAGTGCATTGAAGACAGCCGCTTCAGTCCCTGATCTACATGTATTGCACGTTCGGAATAGCCGTCGTTTGTTATTTGACAGTCGGGACTTTTTAACCGATGGAGCCATCCAGGAAGCATTCTACAGTGTGGGAGCATTTCGATTTGGTGCCACTGAATAAGGTAAAACACGTTCACCTTCTGTGCTCATTTTCCTAATTCGGCGGAGCCTTTAATGCAGGGGTGCCCAAACTTTTTGGACCGAAGATCTACTTTTCTTTCAACCAACCTCCCGGGATCGCCCCTTACCGTGCACGCGCGCGTTGCTCAACATCAGCTGTCTTGTGGGCGACTGGGGCTGACTGTCTGTGAGCTACCTCTGAAGGCCCCCTATTGTATTCGCTGCAGCACCTCCCATTCCACTTGACTGCGTGCACACACACACACACACACACACAC